TCATCTAATCAGAGTCACAGAAATATACAAATGAAAATCGTGAATATTTAGTTTTTCTAAAAATCTTCGAGACTACTCCGAATTTTTCAAATTTCGAAATGGCGTTTTGTTAAGCATGAGATTGTGCAACTTTGCTGTAATTCAACCGACCCTGTATCTCTCATGGTTCACGAGATCCCAATAGAAAAAGAGAATATGTTTAATATTATAGGAGGTAGGGATACTATAACTGAAAAGAGAATCGGAGTTGATGTACTACAAAATACGAAACGGAAACGCTTTGAAAAACGAATAAACTAGTGGAAAAGAATTGTTCTCGACAGCTCAGCTAAATTAACATTCATACCTATTATTGTATCTGACAGACAAATAAAAGTCTATGATAGCGCCTATTGTTTGCTTGCCCCACACAGGCCGTTTCCAGCTTTCTTCTTTCTTGTTTGATCTTGTTCACAATCATGTCACCCTGCTACCAGAAAACGGCTTTCTCATTATAACAAGATGGTCGACATTGTATGCTACAAGATCCAAATTGAGTCTGACCTTATTGCTTCTAGATCTTCATTTCAGATGAGAAGTTACCTATTTTGTTCTGGATCATCATCCTTCTGGTACATTTTTTTAAATGTTACTCACAGAATGTTTCCTAATGTGATTCCTCCACAGTTACATCAATTTCTTTGAATCACTTTTAGCTTTTCGTTCTCCAACTGAAAAACTCCATGTTCCTATCTACAATTTTAGAGTAGTAATGACAATGTTTACATCACCAAAAATCGATACTTATACTGCAAATAACGAAATTTCATGAATTATATATTATACAGGGTGTTAACAAATAAGTAGAAACTGTAGATTCCACATGGAAAAAGGGAAATATTTTTCTTGCACAAAATTTTTCTGCGGGCTTTCGTTTTCAATATACAGGGCGTCAAAAAAAATAAAAAAATCAGTTTTTTGCTCTTATCTCAGGAACCGTTTGAGCTACGGAGCTGATGCTTTGTACAGTGTGTCCAGTTTTCGATGCTTTTGCGTGATATCTCAGTTATCTTTCGAGATAGAACCTTGCGGTTTTCGCGGTCCTGTACCACTTTTCTGTGAAACTCAAGATGGCCTAATTAGATTTTGCATAACTGTTTGCGTTTATGAGATACAGGGCGATTTTGAAAATTTATACTTTTTGGACCCCCTCTATATCTGCGAAGTTCTACCAACCTTGGAAAATATGTAGTTCAGAGACATCTACGTGAACTAAATAAACTAAGTTATTCATATTTTATTCCTAACCCAAACATTTTTCATGGTCCTGTCAAGTTTGTAAATAAAAATCTATCATGTTGAAACCCGAAAATGAAACATCATCACGAAAGATATTATCAAGTATGAAAAACATCTACCTATACTTGGATGGAAGCAGGGAGATGTTTATGCAATGCTATATTAGGTTGACTTATGATGCAACTTGAATTCAAGTTGGAACTGTGGAAACTTCGGAAACTCATCAGTGCTTTCACACTTTTTCGACATGCAAGTCAAGCAGAAAGGTAGGGGCTGCTTATTTCCTTCTATATTTTTGATAAGTTACTATACCTATACCTAATTCTAGAAATTCCGTTATTTGCAGTGAAAACATGTGTTTAGTGATGTAAACTATGTACACATCGGAATCACTATACTTGAAAATTTCAGATACCTACCTACAGCGAAGAGTACCTACATGAATAGCTTTTCAGTTGAAAAACGAAAAACTATGAGTGATACAAACAAATTGATGTGGAAGAATCACATTAGCAATCATCATGTGAGTAATGTTTAGAAGAAATGTATACCAGAAGGATGATGATATTTGAGAACAGAATGGAATGGATATATAGAAGCAATAAGGTTAGACTCAATCTGTTTATTTCATCAATGTTTTATGGATATTCTGCTCCAGACACAAAATATCAAGATGCTGAGATATTTAGACTTTTTTTATTGAAAAATAACTTGTATATGTAGGAATGACAATACAATTATATTTTTTTAATAAATTGAATATAATTATGAAGAATTATTGCAATTTTTATTCTACTAATTTGTTCTCCTCTGATACCCTGTTTATTGTTGTACAGATGTATTGGCAGGTAAGTTTGAAAACACTATTTATATTGTACCAAAGGTATATAGGTTAAATATATGTTTTGCTGAACAATGATTATTTTTCATAAAATCATCTTAGAAGCCACTAACTTCACTAAATATGAGAAGATGTGTCTAGGAATATTCAATACCAATATGTATAACTTTTTAATTTATATCATGTCAACATTTTGAATAAACTTCATTATTATTTATTATCATTCTATAATATCTGTTCAAATGCCCGTTTCCTCCTCAGATGCTTCTCCATCTTCAGGTCGTTTTCTGTTAACTAGTGTTGCAATGAATACACGTAGTTCGTTAAGTAAAAGTATATTCGACAGATCGAATGACAAAAGTTCGAATTAATTAATTAATTAATGACATTCATTGTCTCCATTGTATAGGGTGATTGGTTCATCCTAATATTTTCCTTAAGGAAGGAGTTCCTCTTCAGCATCATATTCCAAACTACATTGATGAGTCTGAAACTATAAAAATATTTGATATCTATTTTGTCCCCAGTTTCAATGTTCTGTACCATTCTGAAATGAATTCAATGACAATTGACTATGGAACAATTTTTAGAGGTACCAAAGTCAAGTTCTTGGTAATTTTTATACTGAAACTAATAGTTCTACTCAACTAGAAACTAATAAGTTGATTGCTACAAAAAGTTGCATGGGTAGGAACTTGTTAAATATCATTTTATTTATATAATCCTTCCTTAAACAAACTTGGAACCGAACCCTCCTTCCAAAACCGTTTCCAATTCTTTATTGGCAAGAAACAGTTCCCTTAAAATGTTGGAAACATACAGTATCATGTTCGCTCACTTCAAAACCTCCCATTCCTGAAATATCAATGCATCAAGTTTCAATTATTATACGATTCAAGAAAAAAATTTCACCTTGCAATCCAATGAATATGGCATAAACTCATTGATGCCTCAGGATTTGAGGCTCAAATTCACAACAGAGGGGATAGGGGAAACCAGGTCTTGATACTTCTACACCTCCACCTCCTGAAGTGCGAAGTTTTCGCACTCACAAACCAATCAACAAACTGCAATAGACAACCAATACTAGAAGAAACAATTAGGAATAATTATTGTAATTTTCAAGAATACGAATTCAAAGTTCAACATATTCACAAAGACGAAGTTATAAGTTAATGACAACTGTCAGAAAATAATTTTTTGATTATGAGATCTCAATCTCATGAAAGAATCTTCTTCATCGCCTTTGTATCAAATATCACGTCAATGATGGAAAGCACATCGGTGGTTGAGTACATATTGGAAAAAAATAGAAGAAGAGAATATCAACCTAATATGGTCTATTTTGACATAAACAAATGAGCTCTTTCCATTTTCTCTTCCCCAGCGCCACTTGACAGACAGACATATTTTGATTCACTGAACAGACAATTTTATACCTTCTCGCACTAGGTCACCTACTAGGTTTTCATTTAGATCGACAATGACTCGACTATCCTCGACTTTCAGTACTGACACAACCACACAACGACAAATTTGAAAAATCATCTCTGAGTCATTTTTGAATTTAGGATGAAAGATCATGAAGCAGTTCTTGTTCAGAATCGAATTTCCTATCGATCAAGAATATTGTTTGCTGTATCCAATAAAAAAAACAACCTATATCGACATAATATGTCAACGCAATGTTCGATTCCTCTTTCAACTTCATCATCGTAATAGTTTGTCTATTCAACTAAAATGGTAGCTCTAATAATAACCAAATGAGCGATAGTGCCGACTCAAGTTCGAAAACTCTGTATTTTTCTGTGTACAGAACAACATTTTTCATTAGAGTTGGAAATATAAAGGGGGTTTCGTTTGAAAAAAATGATTTGGACTTTTGTTCATTTCGCGATTCACATCGCATATCGCTTTTTTTTTCCATCTCGTATAGTTGTAGCTGTGGTTAAAGGTCAAAATATAGGGCTCAATACATAATTGATTTGCTTTTTCAATAAATACTATCTACATTTACACCGATACATTTTGTTTCACTGTATTCATATTGAAGAATACACCATGACATGAAATTCTCTTCAAACTTCCAAAGGAAACCCTTAGGAAACTTATAATTCATCCCCAAAAACCACGTCTTCGGAAGTTGAGTGATCGCAGCTATAGAAATTGAAAATGTCTGCCTTATTCAACTTTACTGTAAATTACTGACTTGTGACTTTGTCCATTTTTAGCTGAGCGTGAACCCGAACAGTCTGAGGATGAACTTGAATGAACAAAAGGCTCTACATTTCAATAAATTCGCATTTTTTATTGGTGTTTTGATTGCATTCGTTCATATTCCGTTTGATCCACTTGTTCTGGGTTCCCACTCCCAGAACTCGAGTGCCTGTAATTCTCCCCCGGCTTCAAAACACAATCCGGAAATAGCTTACAATTAGCACAGTTAGGATGAGTCTGTAAACCCTGTATATATTTGTGAACAAAATAACAACATCTTTCACTGGATTTTTTCTCCATTTCGTATAGTTGACGCTGTAGATAGGGGTCGAAATATAAGGCTTTGTACCTAGTTGATTTGCTTTTCCAAAATAATACTGTCTACATTTACACCGATCGTTTCTTTTTTGTCACTGTATTAATATTGAAGAACACACGATGACATTTAATCCTCAATATATTCCCAAAGATAAGATCATCATCTTCCTACGACCTCAAGAATCTTATTATTGATCCACAGAAACTATACGTATCCGTGAGTTGAGTGATCAGAGCTATAGAAATTCAAAATATCCGCCTTATTGAACTTTACTGTAAGATACTGACTTGTGAGCCCGAATGGTCTAAGGATGAAGTTGAATGAATAAAAGGCTCCACATTTCAATAAATTCTCATTATTTATTGGTGTTTTGACTACATTCGTTCATATTCCGTTTGATCCACTTGTTCGGGTTCCCACTCCTTATCCAGAACTTGTAAGTGATCGAGTGCCTGTAATTCTCCCCAGGCTTCAAAACACAACTCGGAAATTGCTTACAATTAGCACAGTTAGGATAATTCTGTGTTTGCAAGGCAATACCGCTGTGCATTCTGTAGACTTTCCTCTCTTTCCCCACCACCTGTTGAGTATTCTGGTAGTACGACGGTATGAAATTCTCCTTTTTCTTTTTCGTCTTCTTCTGCTCGACTTTTTTGTTCTGTTCCTCGTTCACTGTTGCTGGCTCATCGATCAGCGTATCATTTTCTGTGGACACGCTGGACCTCTTGGATTGCTGGATGATTGCGTAATCCAGCAGCTTGTCGATAGTAGTTTTGAGCCAGACGTACGGTCCGTCGTTCTCTTGAACCAGCACAGCTTTGAACCTGTAATCACATTTTGGCACTATCAGTTTTGAATTATTGAAGGTAATACCATGAGTCCTTCAAATATTATCGATAATGTTTCCAATTTCTTTTTTCTTATGAGATAAAATCACTCGTTCTACGGACTCGTGATTTTGTCAAACGGTTTTTTGCCTCATATGAAAAAGTTTTGGTGATGAAAATAAAAAATCATGAAGTATAATTTGAGGGACCAGTTGTATTCGGAAAGATTATTTTTTTCACCGATTTGAGAAAGACTCATTTCACGATTCAACGTAATATATCACTTTACAATGATATAGGACAGGGTGTTTCATGAGAAGACTCACATAGCCAAATGGTTAATAGGGGAAATCAAGACGAGTTGATGTATAAATATCTAAAGAAATTTTGAACCTCCATAACGAAGATACAGAGTATTATGTGAAATTGCTATATAACTTTGATGGTCGATATTACAGAGATGATTCATCGTAATATGTTGAAATTTGGCAGTGACGTATCTCTACTGAAACTATTCAAGATAACATATTACGAAAGAATATATTCAGGTCCGGACGGAAAATTTTATGTTTCATTGTTGTGTCAAAAAAGTTCACTTTGTGACCACTTTTCTCGAAAAATTCCATCAGATTCAGAAAGATCAGACAAAACGCTATAGAAACTGCTCTTCAATTTACACGGCACACTTTGACCGGTTCAATAAAAAAATATGGAACAAAAACGTTCGAATGAATTTTCAATTTCGATCTGGCTGATAACTCTCAACTATGAAGTGGGCCCTGTTTTTATTTTATGTAACGTGACGTTTGTTGATAGGTAAACACTGGTAATCTATATATTCTTACACTCTAGGTGCCACTTCATATTCCAAATACTGAACAAGACGAAAATCCAAATGTTTAATACCATAGAATATTTCCAGACCCAAGAATACGTTGCAGTAAAACCTTCACGAGGATGATTATTAGGAATTTTGAATAAATAGCAAATGCATCCTTATATCTCTTGCAGAAGTGTATCAATAACAAAAACTGGAGCTTATTTCATGCGTGATGGCATAATTAATTTGATAAATCACCATAATATGGGCACATGGATCCTCATGTCGTAATTTCATCAGTTACTACCTACCTAGTTCTAGCCATACCTACCTATCAGTTCGGATTATCAACAAACGTCACGTCTCGTCACACAAATAAAAACAGGACCTACTAGATATCTCGATTACCCTTCAACAAAAATGTAGAAAAAATCAATTCACATGATACCAGTTGAAAGTTGACAGTTATCAGCCAGGTCGAAATTTAAAAATTCATTCGAACGATTTTGTTCCATATTTTTTTATTGAGCCGGTCAAAGTGTGCCGTGTAAATTGAAGAGCAATTCTCATAGAATTTTGTCTGATCTTCCTGAATCTCATGGAATTTTTCGAGAAAAGTGGTCACAAAGTGAACTTTTTTGACATAACAATGAAACATAAAATTTTCCCAAGTCCGGACCTGGATATTTTTTTCATAAAATGTTATCTTGAAAAGTTTCAGTAAAGATACGTTGCTGCCAAATTTCAGCAGATTACGATGAATCATTTCTGTAATATCGACCATCAAAGTTATATAGCAATTTCACATAATACCCTGTATCTTCGTTATGGATGGTCAAAAAATATTTTCATATATATACATCAACTCGTCTTGATTTCCCCTATCAACCATTTGGCTATGTGAGTCTTCTCATGAAACACCCTGTATAACACATATGAAACGTTCACTTTTGTAGATAATATGTAAAAAAAAATTGAAGAAAGGAATAAAGTGGGAACATTATATAACACAAGATCACAAACAATAAAAACATTTCAAAATTTATAATTGAGGAATTCATCGGTTGAATAAAAACCCTCAGAGGCTGAACAACAATGGTAGATGACGAGAGAAAAACAACTTCTGTCCTGGCTAATGCCACGCAGGACATTGAATTACATCTTCCCGAAATCTATGCATCGATACGTATAAACGAATACCAATGCAAGAATGTATTTCCCTAATACCGATTGATTTCGATTCAGCCAGGTCAACGCAACGACACCTACAGACCGTTTTCGAACTTCTTGACTCTCATCAGTGTAGGGTTGTCTCCAGCTCGCAGTGCAAGGAACTTGGATTTGCTGAACAACACCTCATCTCTTCGTAAAATAGAAAGAATCGTAGCTCATTGCCAGAGGTTCATCTACATGAAATTATATAAAAAAGAATTGAATGTATATTTGTTCAGTCTAGATGATTTGCATAGCGCTCTAGTCGTTATTGTTTAGGTTGTACAGAAGCAAGTATTTCGCGACGAGATTGTGAATTTGAGATCTGGAAAGTCTTTATCAAAACCTTTCAGGAAGCTTCCTCATCAAAACCTTTCAGGAAGCTTCCTCACTTTTCGACAGGGAGGATGTCCTAAGGGTAGGCGATCGATTGTGCCATTCGAATTTTCTAAACGATGCAAAGCACCCGATATTATTGCCTCGTCAACATAGAATGACCAAAGTGATTTTTTGAACTTTCATAATAGAAATATGCATCCAGATCCTAATACTTAGAGATATTGGATGGTTCAACAGTTCTGGATCTTTCATGCAAACGTGCAATTCATCACGTAATTTCGAAGTGTATTCGTTGCTTTCGTGTTAACCCTACCCCTGTGATACCTATGATGGGAGCTTTGCCCTCATATGGTGTATCTCCATCGATGTATCGTGGTGCAAGGAGGGTCAAAGCGTATGTTTGTCTGTTTGTGTGTTGTTCTACTAAGACAGTTAATCTGGAATTAGTATCCAACCTATCTTCGGAAGCCTTTATGGCAGCCCTTAGGAGATTTATGGCACGTAGATGTAAAGTAACAGACCTCTTTAGTGATACTGATACTAATTTCGTAGGATCAAATATCTAAATGAGAAAGCTTTATAGGGAATCCACCAGCGACGCATTTGAAACGAGTAACCGGTGAGCAGATTTTGACTATGGAGGAATTCCATACTTTGCTCACAGTAATTGAAGCGGTACCCAACTATAATCCTCTTTTTAGCTTTAGCAGTGACCCCAATGATTTGAATGCCTTGAGCCCAAGTAATTTTTTGGCATGTGCTGTGTGCTCCTCCTGATGAGGATCTCACATCGGTTCCATTGAATCGCAGTTCAAGATAGCAACGTTGTCTCCAGGATTTTTGGCGCCGTTGGCATTTCGAATATCTGAACCCGCTTCAAAAACGCTCTAAATGGAATAAATCTGATGCCTTGTTCAGTATTGGGACTCTTACTAATCCATGGCGCAATCTTGCCACCATCACAATGAAAGTTGGCAAAGATAACAGATGTATATCCGGGTAAAGATGGAATCGCTCGAGTACCTCAGGTCCGTACCTCCACGGGCTTGTTGAAGCGCCCATTAGTAAAGTTGTGCTCATTACCTGCACAGCAGCCTCTAGCATATTCCTTTGTTCATAGTTTTAATTAGTTTGTGTTGATTTGTATAGATTATAAATATACAGAATATGAAATATAATTCATTTTATTCTGGTGGGAGGACTCACTATAGATCGCCGTTCGTTGTTGGTTCGAATTCGGCCATCGGAAGATCATTTTGAAAAACAATGAATGGTGCACGGATTGAGTTTTCATGTCCTGTCAGCATATTTTGCCACCACTAATGTTTTACAAAATCCATCATGAGCCTGTAGAGGTCCCGCACTCAACAACGCACAAGTTCAGACTTGGGATTTCAACTTTGAAGAAGTGATGCATAAATAATTCAATTCGACAAACCTTTGAAATTTAAGTCGTGTACCGTCAGTTCCTGCTTTTCCATCAATTTATTCGTGGTTATGTCTGACTGTCAGTGAATGTGATAGTTTCCGTACTCTAAATACAGGGTGTTCCACAGGTAAAGGGAAATATTTCAGTGGTACATAGGGATCACCAAGGTGGTTCTGAAAATACCATATTTGATAGATCTTAGAGTCTTCATAACGGAGATACAGGGCGATTTATCGATTTCGAGTAATTATTCATTCGTCTATAAGTATTGAACTACCCAGTATATTTTTCTAAAATTTGGTATGGAGCTTAAACTTGGGACGTTGAATTCATTCACTCATCGTGCGGTGCGAAAATCCTGGTTCGGCTTCAGGAAAAATTTACATTTATTCGAAATATTAAAATAACACACTGTATGTGATAATTGACAAAGTTCATCAAAGGAATCGTGAAGAGGAGAAAGAACTGAACTGGTTTTGATGCTTTTTGTTTTCCCGCCACCAATTCTCACCGTAACAATCATAAACGGAAAGCTAAAAGTATGTCCATTTTACTTGGTTTTTTGGGATTTTCTCTCCTCGTTATTTCAATAATACGAATACTTTCATTTCATAGAAACGAGGAGAGAAAATCCCAAAAAAACAAGTAAAATGAATGTACCACCTCCTCGATTAACCTACAGACAGTATATTCAAAAGTATGTCAATTTGAAGAGTATTAAAATTATGAAACCACTTTCAATTATGATTATTTGATATATTCTTGTTGAATAATCGTTCTAAAGAACTTACTAATTCTCACAGTCTTTATAACAGAGATACAGGGTGAATTATCGGTTTCGAATAATTATTCACTCGTCCATAAGTATTAAACTACCCATCGCAGTAATATTTTCTCAAATTTGGTATTGAGCTTACTTGGGACGATGGATTCATTGACCTATCTGGCAGAATGGAAATACAGGTTCAGCTTCAGGAGGAGTCTCATAGTCTTTATAACAGAGATACAGGGTGAATTATGTAGACTAAATGCCAAATTTGAGAAAATGTTACTGGGTAGTTTGATACTACTTATGGACGAGTGAACGATTATTCTAAACCGATAATTCACCCTGTATCTCCGTTATAAAGACTGTGAGACTTAGTAAGTTCTTTAGAGCGATTTTTCGACTGAAATATATCGATTAATCATAATTGACACTGATTTCATAATTTCAATAGTCTTCAAATTGACATACTTTCAACTTTACACTGAAAAAAAAATTTAGTGAAATTTCACTCAAGGTCCACGCAATAATGAGTCAATTTCGGTCCACGCCCGATTGAGTTGAAATTTCACCCTACTTGACTGTGTGAATGGTAATTCATGAACCAATTCAATCAAATTTGTTATAAACATTCTCATTGATATGAGAACTTGATGAAATATCTAGTTTCAGTTGAGAATTCACTCAAATATTTCAATCAGTAAATTCACTCACAAGCACATATGCATTCACTCAGAGGAATTTTTTACAGTGTATGTTTATGATTGTTATTATATGAGAATTGGTGGCGGGAAAACGAGAAGCATCAAATCCAGTTCAGTTTTTTCTCCTCTTCACGATTCCTTTGATGAACTCTGTCAATTATCACATACAGTGTGTTATTTTAATATTTCGAATAAATGTAAATTTTTCCTGAATCCGTACCTGGATTTCCACTCCGCCCGATAGGTGAATGAATTTAATGTCCCAAGTATAAGCTCCTAACAAAATTTGAGAAAAATATACTGGGTAAGTCAATACATATAGACGAATGAATAATTATTCGAAATCGATAAATCGCCCTGTATCTCCGTTATGAAGACTCTAAGACCTATCAAATATGGTATTTTCAAAACCACCTTGGTAACCCCTATCTACCATTGAAATATTTCCCTTCACCTGTGAAACACCCTGTATACAAAAACGTCAAAACAGCATTGTCAAGTATGAGTTTTTCTTAATTCCTCTGGTGTGCCCAAACTGCAATTGTTTCATCCGACTAACTCTCGGTTTGAACTTTGAATGCGAGTTCCGAACGTTTGTTTCTTATATTCGATGATAGATGGCGTGAACGATGGAGAATTTCTTGGAAAATTTCAAAATGCGTTCCGAATCTTATTATGAAGTTGAAATAGACCCTAGATGATGCATTTTCCTCCTTTCGGGGCCTAAAGAGTTTCTTCGATGATGCACGAATTCAATAATAGTTGAATGAAAGCATCTAGAGACAGAACGCAAACAGACAGGGCGCAACAATTGATCCGTGCGGAAAAATCTTGATCTAGACTGGACATATCTGTCACTAGTGTCACGTTTCACGTTTTCGGAATATTCGTAATTTTGTTCAAATTTGAAATACAAATATTATGAACTATTATGAATGAAAATGTATAAGAGCTTTGGTAGTTTATTGAGCAGGTATTGATGTTATATTAGTTGAGTGAATGTATTGTACATTCATTAGGACAGACTTTGCTGCAATGTGTGAGGTTTATTTGAGAAACCGAACATTCGTTTTATTTCATATACCATCGGGGCCTACTTGCTTGGCTACAGCCTCCCCACCTACTACTACACCATTTGACTTTCTATATATCTATGTCAAGTATACTGAAGAACTCTAGTGAACTATAGCTACATTGTGGAAAAATGAAATCGATCGTTTCCATTGATAATGCTATAATACTGAGAGTTAAAAAATTTGGCTACAAACCCTTTGAGGTACTCGACGTGAAGCGGCTTGAAGATAAAATCCTCGATGTTCAAGTTCTCGTCGGACATGGTCACCCTAGGAGAGTTGTTAGGGGTCATGTACTCCACTGGTTTTTCTTCGGATATCTTCAGCCTCATGATGAAGTCCCTGAGGTCTTGGTAGTACTGTTGCTCGTCTTTGCGCAGGATCTTCAACAACTTCTGGCGCATAGTGTCGAGGAAAGACAGGTTATCGTTGCGTTGGACTTTCTCTTCTTCGGCTATCGTCGAGGTGGTTATCTCTTCCACAGACATCACCCTGTATTCAGTTAATTTGTATTTTTACCAGGAAAGTCAAGGAGTGATTCTGATTTATTCAATTTCGATTACGGAGTACTAATTTCATATCTGGGGTTTGTTGGCAAAATTTCTATACGCAACATTGTAGTAGGAGAGGCAAAGAGGCTAAATAGGGATTTACTCGAGCGTCGTGGGGACGTATCAGATTGTGACGATAAGATGCGAAAATGAAAAAAAGTGTATATGATATATGACCTTTCACTGGTGGGGAAAGCGTGTACAGGTGTTCGAAAATGTAAAAAAAACAGTCACATAGAAATACTCGAGCGCATCAGATATTCATGATGTATGCGTCCCACGTGTTTCTGATAACCGCAAAATATTAATCTGTTGGTTTGCATGGTGAAAGTGGCCATACGAAGGGATAGAGAATAGAAAAAAAAGGGAAGTTTGAATGAAACCTCAAGTAGCTCCTATTCAAAAGACTGACGATTTGGACGCGACCAAAAGTCATGACTAATTTTTGAAAATGAAAAAAAAATTGTGACCTTGAAATACTCGAGCGCGTCAGATTATCATACAGACGCTTCATTTTAATGTCCTTGTCGTATCTACCCATAATCTGCCAATTATGTAGAGGAATTACCTCAATCTTACGGTTGGATTTTTTTGTTAACTGAATGTAATAACTAAAATATAAATTATACATGGTGGGTCAGCTTTTTGTGTGCCTAGCAGGACTTAATAACAGCTCGAAGAATTCAAAATTTTGAGATGGACGGCTCTTATAGACATACAGGGTGGACCAATAGTGTGGCAAAGTGAGATAACGGCTTTGCTGTTTGAGATAGATGAACAAAAACTCCCAAAATGGTCTAGTCTCATGATCAGTTCAGTTCTGAAATTTTTTGCGTCATATACAGGGTTACTCAAAAATGCGTGGCGTATCAAAGTTATACTTTTTCTTATGGCATATTAAGATTCCTCCTCATGAGCTGATTGATAACAATATACGAAGTGATACTTTTCTCTTCAGTTTCCTACGTTACCACAATTATATACATAGTTTTCAGTGGCTGCAAGCTCAATTGATAATTTTCGCTACTTCGGCTTGTGGAAATCGGCAAATTATGTTATTTCCGTGATCCGTGACTAATTGCCTTCAAAATAAGATAAAAATTAAATGCGCTCGAGAATGTACAAGTGACGATTTATTTTGCAACTCTGTTGCTCTCCCATTTCCTTATGTCACACTCAAATCGTCAGATCATTGAAATTCACACATTTCTGCATGTAAGTAACGTGATATATAAAAGGCCCGGTGAGAGTACTCCACAAGGTCCAAGAAGACCTCCCTTCAGTTGATCTGCAGCGCTCGAGTAAATCCCGAAATCCCCGCTTGGGCTTCCCTACTATTGGAGAGAATCACAAAAAATGTGGAAAATGAAATACGATTCTCTGGCAATTTTTGCTTATAACTCGACAACCAGAAAAATTTTAGAGAAGGTGCAAAGCCTAGCATGTCTTTGCACAACAGGAGCAATGAGATCGGCTCCAACAGCAGCACTAGAGGTCGTTCTGGACTTCATACCTTACCACATCCTGGTAAGAAAAACTTATTGGGGAGCACATTTCAGGTCATAGAATATCAGGCACAAAGGAAAATCATCAGAAAGTTCAATTTTGGGAAAAACCTCCGAACAGATCCATCCAAGCACTAGGAAGAACTATCATAATATGCTGTACGGACGGGTCTAAAACACCCTTCGGAACTGGAACTGAAGTGTTTGGGCCTCGCACTAAATATTTCGAAGCACTGAACCAGTTCTCAACGTTTTTCAAGCGGAACCACGACAGATTATACCGGGACAAGGAAATAGTATCCTCTTCGACAGCCAAGTATCCATCAAGGCGTTGAGTCGTTCTTCCAACATCGACTCAAATATGGTTTGGATATACCAAGATAGACTCACCAATCTAGGCTGAAACAACAAAGTGATCATCTTCTGGGTGCCAGACACATTGAGGCAGCGAAAAATTAATAAGCAGACATTTTAGCACGAAATAAAGTATCAACGCCACTGATTGAACCAGAACTATTCTACGGCCTACAAGATTCTTATCCTCAAAGAGAGCTTGATGAAGCTGAAAAAGCAATGAGAGCAACACACTAGCGAGCAAGACTTCCAGGACTGCGGCAGACTAAAGATCTCCTCGGCAATTTCAAATGAGCGACATCGGAGACCTCGATCCACCTCAACAAAATCAGTCTCAGAGTAATAACAGGACTTCCAACGGGGCATTTTGAACTCAAAGGCCATCGAAGGAGAGCTAGGCTTAGAGGAGGACTGCACCTCCAGGAACAGTACCTCCACATATCTTGCTGGAGTGTTATCTGAACATCACAATAGATCGAATATACTGATAGCATACCATCTGACTGTTGAAGAAATACGAGGAACTAATCCCCTGAAAATCATCAAATTCCTAGAAGAATTATTGAAGCTGAGAGACTGCTTTGAACACGAAAACTTTGAAATAGAAGAAGGAGATGGGGCACAATAAATCTAATCAGGTAGCAACTATTAACTTTTTTCAAATAACCCTCTTTCTCAGAATGGGAGTGATATATATTTCCTATAAAGAAAATGGAAAAAACTAAATGGTTATGGAAAATTATATCCATTTTGAATGGAAGTTTCTTCGTGCATAGTCGACATTTTATTAACTGAATACAAACAAACTAATGAAACATCATAGTTTTCAGCTCTATTCGGATTTTTTCAATGTTGCGTGAAAATTTTGTTAGCACACCTCAGATTCAAATTCAGTAACCCAAAATACGTATAGAAAGGAAGAAATCAGAACTACCCCATAATTTACCCTCTAGGGGTTCTTTTCAGCAAAGATCCCTGTATTACCTGCCATAACCAAACTCGTTGGCCGTACTGAAGTTAACCCCGCTCTGGTTGCTGTAGATCTCCAGCATTCTGCCGCTTGGCGGATGCAGAACTCTGCCCACGAAGCAGTCTCCTTGACTCGAACCCCTGTAGACGGCGAGATTTCAGGTAACCATGACTTTCGGTATAAAAGCAATTTTAGACCAATCAGAACGATTTTCGCTATGCTGATGAATTCAAAATGTGGACTTTGCTCCGAGTTGCCAACCTAAAAAGGTTTGATTACTCGACCGTGTGTCATTGATTTCGAGAAAAGAGCAAACCACGTACCTCGTGATTCCACAGAAAAGTCCTCACATCGTGTTATGGAACAATTCTTCTTTCGTTATGTTTTCACTGAAATATTCCTCATAACATAATATATTCGTGTTTTCATTAATGCTATCAACTGTGATTTCTTTATTTCCACCCTTCACACAGTTTCATCCACTTAAAGACACTTTCTTGGATTATTTTCCAATTTTCACCTCAGAAATGGGACGAAAGTCATGTCTAGATCTGACTCCAAATGGAATATACTACTAGGTACTTCCTACTAGAACCAGCAAACTTCTTCACCAGCGAAAAATGCATAATAGTCGATAAATGGATAATCTGAATTGTGTGACAAGATGTGACGAGTAAAATTGACGACGATATGAGATATTTCGGAATGATAACAGGGACATCAATATAAGTTTCAACTAATCAGAAGTGGAGTTCACAAAAACTAATTTTTCTTCTGAATAACTTCTACTTATGAGCTGAGTAGACTCCTACAATTCAATTTTACCAAAATAGAGCCATTTCAGTAGGTACTCAAACTTCCATAATATTGCTTCAACAGTGGCTGACATTTCGAGGTTGTGAACTTGAGGCGAAGTCTTCCATTGAAATCGAATTTTTCGAAAGACTGAAAGAAGAAAAGGTATCCATAAAAAGGATGTCAGAGAGTTGAACAAATAAAATTCTTTGAGCAAAATTCCGATGACTTTTCATGATGATGTTTTTCATTTTGTGTCCCTCTCCCACTATGATATCCAGGGCAAATCACTTATTATTCTTGCTCAAGAAATGTACACATGCATAAAGGACGAACCTCCTCTATGCATAATTTTTTTTTCTGGAAATGCTGATTTCCTTTTTTTCTGTAACGTCCAACTACACTGATTCTCTCATCTGAAAATTGGACTTACATCTAGCAGAGTGGTCATAACAGGAATTCTACATATTTATCAAATTTTTTCGATTTTTTATCGCGTGGAGCGCACGAAAGGGAATCCCAATAATGTTCGAAACACATTGTGCTTCCCTGAATAGGATAGGGAGGAAAGGTAGGTATTGGATTGTTCTAACTTTCCGAGGCTATAAGTTCGTGGAAACACTTTCTCTGGCAAATAAATCCTGCACTTTACTTTCTGGACCCACTTTTTTGGAAAAATATTTCAGAGCTTGTCTGGATAATATAATATCTGGATACTATTGCTAGATATTTCTGAATTGAATTTCAGTAGAAGTATCCATGAAAAAGTTAAAGTTCGCCGACTTCTCTACGATCGACTGGCTCTTCTCTGGATGGAATGTAAGAGCATCAAAGCGTGTGTTTGAGTACTGAACCCCATGTGTGGGTATACAGTATTGTAGGACAGGACGTATATGTGCTTTGTAGATCATGAAAAGCTGTTGAGGTGTGACGTAGAGCCATTCGCACGAAACAAAAATGAGTTTTTTTAAGCAGCCTTCGCGATGGATCTGACCTGATCATCCCATAAAAAAGTATTGCTGATGGAAATTTGAGAATTGACAAGATATGTAATTGATATAATTTTTTTTCTGTAGCGTCTGTAATGAAGTTATTACGACACCCTAAAACGTATAGAAACAGCTTCTATTTGGACACTATTCAGACACACTAGCGTCCAGAGACAGAACGCAACAAATAACTATAACATTACAGGTATCTTGAGCATTCCATTTATTACCTATCAAATTTGCTGGTGATTTCGCAATGCGACTGTGAGCTTGAGGAATCAGAATGTGTTGTAAAAGTTGAATGCTGAGAAGAAGAAAACATTTGAACTACCTACCCCAATTTTTCTTTTTACTGAAGCTCATGATATGTAACCTTCAGCAACTGATGAGGATTTCACCTCCTTTTTTTGCTAAATGGGACACACTAGAACGCCGAAAACAATGTCCTGAAAAAATCTCAGGATTTGGTGATATCCTGATTCTTTGCATTTTTTCAATTATGTTGATTTTATTCATGCAGTAACCCTTGCGGTATATATAGGTCAACAAGAAGCGTTTGCATTTACATATTGTGGTGGTATAGGTCGCCAGTTTAACACCATACTTGGAAATTGTGAAATTCTTTTTCATCAGCTGGACGAGGATTCTTGGGCAACAAATCACTTATAGCCGTTTGGGCACATTCTCTCAGTTCAGGAGGGATGCAACTCAAGTTTGCCTTCTCAGTCATTCTCAAAATGGGAAATTCAGAATTTTGATAGAACCATCTGTCATATTTGGGAATGAACATATAAATGTTTTCTCATTGTTACCAACTATCTTCACTTCATATCTTTCTAATATTTGATGATTTCATCGATGAATTATTTTCGAATAAAAGAGTAGGAATGAATGCAAAATGAGAAAAAAAGAATACGCTTCATAAGACATACACAAAATAGTGTTGTATGAAATTTGTATAATAAGTAGTGCTGTTATGAATCCAGCCACTTAATATTATCAAGTTGTTAATCAAAATCTTACAAAACCTCAGAAACGCCCAGTTGAGATCGTCCTAAATACTGGAAAGATATGTTTCTGATCTCATTTCTTTTTGAAAACAATTGTTCTTCATCAAGTTGTGCACGCAGGCGCGCATTTGAACATTCTAATTGGTCTAAAAATGCATCCGTACCGAAAGTAATGGTTATCTGAATTCTTGCCTGTTGACACACAGATTCTGGTCGAAGCCGTCTCTCGGAGTGATTCCCATCAGTTTGCCCAACGTTTTCGGCACTTGAAAGTCAAAGTCACTGTGCACCACGTTCATGATCTCCCCGGTGGGTATTCCGTCTTTTTGCGGGGTGAAGCAGTTGCAGTTCAAGGTCAAAATGTGCCTGTAGGTCTCGTCAGGGCCTGCGTGGTGACCTGACAGATAGATAGATTAGATAGATAAACTTTGATTAACCTAGCATATCAAGACAAGGAAAATCTAAGGAAATTTGTGATCCCCATCAGTTTCTTCAAGGTTTTCGGCACATATAAGTCGGAAGCTTTGTGCACTACAGTCATGATCTCACAGGTGGGTATGCCGTCCTTTTGCAGGGTGAAGGAATTGCAGTTCAAAGTCCAGTGATCAATTTTTCATATATAATTGTTCACCCTCTATATACATAGTTGGTGATATTGTCATAAATACTCTAGAGTTTTTATTATACAATTGAGAAATCAATACTGAACCTTCAACATCAGACTGAAATATCATTTTGGTTATCAATCTACTACATCAGGTGGAAACCAGACCCATATTTCTGTAGGCAAAATCCTACATGGTCCTTTGACCCAGATCATCGAATAGCTGTTACCGAGCATTCTACTAGCGGAACAGAGAGTGAGTCGTAAACTATTCAACCTGATTGCACGATCGGGTTGTTCGTTTTAAAAGAATTCTAACAATCAACTATGTCTGGAGAAAGCCAGAAACATACCAAATACCTTTGTTGTTTCTACTCATCACCAAATGATCCATCCTATGAAGAGCTCTTCGGATTCTTGTCTCTGAAGCTTGACCAAATTCAACAGAACCATCCAGCAGCAGTAATTATCGTCATGGGCGATTTCAATAAACACAACACTGCTTGGCTCGTATACTCTAACAGAACGGATGAAGCTGGGCGACAAGTCGAAGCTGTCGCCATCACTCGCGGCTAAGAGCAGCTTATCAAAGAACCCACACGAATCCCCGATGCCAACAACCATTCAGCTAACATACTTGACTTGTTCCTCACTAATAATTCAGCACCCTACACCATAGATATACGAGCTCCACTTGGCAATTCTGACCACACACTCATCTCCACAACCTGCCCATTTCTCATTCCATCAACTGCTCCAGCATCCCCACTTATATGGCATTACAATTCAGGAGATTGAGACGCTCTCTGCATGTTTTTCTCCGAGTTTCCTTGGCATAAAGTATGCTTCGACTCTGAGGACCCTTCACAGTGTGCTGCGGAAATATTCGAGATTATCATGCTCAGAATGGACACATACATACCTCATTCTCCGAAAAGATCATCACCATCGAAACTTTGGTTCAACAAAAACTGTTCTAGAACTGTTGCCTTGGAACAAACAGCTAGCCTACCATCGCTGGCGCAAAAACCCTAACCTCGCGACTAGAGCAGAATACGTTGATGCCAGGAATAACTGCAGCCAAACAATAGATGCTTCGAAATGAACATGCAATGCCAAGATAAGATCGAAACTCATAGATTGTCCTAATAGCTCCCGTTCGTTTTGGTCCGCTGCTAAAGCGGTCGGAAGAAATTTCACTAATAGTTCCTTTCCACCACTGTCCAAATCCGACGGCACATTAGCAACAACATCGCAGAAGAAAGCGAATATTTTTTGCAGAGATGTTCGAACATTCCACCCGTTGAGAGTCGAATGCCCGACATCGTCTTCCGTCAACGCACTATCAGACGAATTTTGCTTGGTCTCAAAACGAATAAGGCTAACGGTCCTGATGGAATTCCACTCATTATCCTCAAAAAATATGCACCAGAACTAACACCGATTCCCTGCAAGTTGTTAACCGTCTTGTACAGGTCGGGTATTTTCCATCTTGCTGGAAGACAGCTAGAGTCCAACCAATCCCCAAAAGAGGGAACAAGAACCTGCCCTACAACTACAGGCCCATTGCCCCGTTATCAGTAATCTCCAAAGTGATGACGAAAGCCATCAATATTGAGCTTATCAAATATCTGGAGAGCTCAGGAATCATCAATGATAGACAATACGGCTTCAGCCACCGGAGATCTACTGGAGATCTACTTGCCTGCGTCATCCATTTATGGCAAGCTTCAAGCAGAAAAACACAGGGAATCTCTAGCTGTCGCGTTGGACATATCGAAAGCATTAGACCGTGTTTGGCACGAAGGACTCCTCCACAAACTACCATCATACGGCTTAACACCTCAGCTATACCATCTCTCATCCAGTTTCCTTCAGGCAGATCGCTTCACGTGGTAGTGGACGGTGTATCGTCTGATACCATTGGCATCAATTCTGGCGTTCCACAACGATCAATTTTGGCACCAACATTATTCCTTATTTATATCAATGATCTGTTGGGAGTAACAACTTGCCTCATCCACAGGTTTGCAGATGATAGTACCCTCCATACTGCGTTCTCTTCCAGAATTCCCATTTCTTCCCAGGAAACTGAGAACTCACGGCGCAGGCAGGTCAATGCTGTGAATGAAGAACTTGCTGAAATCACAGCCTGAGGAACCAACAACCTAGTTGAATTCAACGCTACCAAAACTCAAGCCTGTATTTTTTCTAGAAAGGCGGAACTCAGTATCTCCGATATTGTAATGTCTGGCACCACCATCCTCACCAAGCCACCATATCTATGCACGATATTTCCATCAGCAACACTCTTTCATGGGATAATCATGTCAGATCCATCGCAAAAGCTGCTTCACAAAAACTCGGATTCTTGTTCCGTGCGAAAAGCTACTTTACACCTCAACAGCTTCTCATGATCTACAAAGCGCAGATTCGGCCTGTTCTAGAATACTGTTTCCACATATGGGGTTTAGCACCAAAACATACGCTGATGCCCTTAGATTCCATCCAGAGAAGATCCATTCGCCTGGTGGGTGATGCCACACTCACCAACTCTTTGACATCATTGAAACACCGTAGAAAGGTCGGCGACCTTTCACTTTTTTATCGATACTTCCACGGGAAATGTTCTTCAGAGATCTCTGCTATCATCACTAGCAATACCAGTCAGACGAACTGGACAAGCCCAGTCAGCAGATCCTTTCGTTGTCAACCTCGAAAGATGTCGAACAGCACTTTATCAAAACTCCTTCATCCATAGAACGGCTAGGCTCTGGAATTCATTGCCTGAGGAAGTATTCCCAACAACATATAATCTCCAGAAGTTCAAAAAAAATTACAATACCTACCTCCTGTCCCTATCCTCCCTAGGATCGCACGATGTTCTTTGAACATTATAGGGATTTTCTTTCGTGTGCTTCAAGCGATAAAAAAAAAGTTGAGTAGGAAACGAGGTGGTGTTAAGGAATAACTTACTATTTTCAAAAACTATCTGCAACACTTTGAAATTCCTAAAAATCCTTCTAGGTCCTTCAAGCTCTATAATTTGTACAACAGGAATATGAGACTGGTTTTCATTCCATACAGCTAGTGTCGTAGTTTCATGACAAAAGTATTTTTTTTTCTAATATTGCAGTCTGACATTTCATCATTGATTCCTCAATTGTATAACAAATACCTACTCTATAGTATTCATAACATCACCAACGTATATGAAGGGTGAACAATATTAGTAACAAAATCTTAGTCAGCGTGTGCATGTAGATTTCATAAAGGCCTATGTCGTGACCTGATAGAAATATAAACATTTTTCTAAAATTGTTCTCATCCGTCCTTCGATTGCATCCTTACGAGCAACGCCTAGAAGTCTCCTACGAACATTATTGGAATTTCCTTTCGTGCGCTTCAAAAAATAAAATGAAATACTTGTACGAGCAAGGAATGACAAGGACCATACCTTCCAACATGTGATCCCAAACACTTTCTTGGGCCATCAGAAAAATATCTGCAATCGGGGATATATAAGATAGATAAGATAGATGGACTTTGATGAACCAAGAATTTCAAGACTGAGAGAACCTAGGGGAATTTGTGATTCCCACCAGTTTGCTCAATGCCATTTGCGTTCGATGTTTCCATAAGCTCGATGGGTGTGACGGCGCAATATCGAACCTTCTTCCTCTGTCACACTCATTGAGCTTTTGGAAACTTTGAAAGCGAATATCTTCGTAATCGTTTGTAATAACACTATCAAACCCGGTATCATTGGATTCGTTATGATAATTTATGGAATGAAATACAGTGTGCCATCTGAGAATGAAAAGTGAAAAGTACCTAGCTATCACAGGGCTGTCAAATGTAATCCATTTTTTATGAGTCATTAGGAAGGTACTTCGATGCCATTTTTGGTTTGATTCTCATTGAATAACAGATGAACGTAGTGATTTTGCAGTCGTATCTTAGACTATCACTTAGTTTCCTCAAAACCTTACCTGCCAAGTTGAAGTAAGTGAGATTCGACAGGTTGATTATGGTCGTTTCGGTCGTAATTGCTTCCATGTCAATGGTGAATTCGTTCCTCTCCGACAGCTCGAAGGTGATCCTCACCAGAACATCGCCTGGATAGCCTTCTGTCATGCGCGGGCTCATGTGGTTCATTACGACTTTCCTGCCGTCCGTGAAAGTGTTCCAGACCACCTGGTCCAGGCCTCTGGATCCGCCGTTCCTGTGCTGGTTGTCTCGGTAGTTGGAAGTGAGCCGGTATTGCTTGTTGCCCAGCTCGAATACGCTGTCTTTGACTACTTGGCTCATTCTGCCTATGGTGGCTCCCAAGTAGAAGCGTTTGTAGTAGATGTAGCCTGCGAGATCGTCGAAGCCGAGGACTATGTCGTCGATGTTTCCTTTTCTGTCTGGAAAGGGTTATATCGCAGTTATCAGACAAACGTTTATCAAACGTGTTATCAACGTGTCATTAGTTGAAATCGTGTTGCGATGTGAAATCAATGGTCTGTATTTTGGTAAGAAAAAGGCCGTTTCATCTCAACGTTATAAATACGTAGTTTCCAATCACATCTGAGACACCAATAATGCAACGTTATAATAACGTTACCTGCGATGACTTAGATAAAGTAGTCATAAAATTATTATTATTATATTATTATTAAGTATATTCTGACGTTTTTTTCAAATATGGGGTGAGTTGAAACATTCATGTTACGTTTTGACATTATGTTGTTGAAATCAATCATAAAGATGGTTTCAGAAACGTCTCGAACTTGGTAGGTCTGATAAAAAATCATTTGATGGCATAATATCATAGTCCAACAAAAACACTGGAATGAATACCAATTTGTGTCGCTTTCTTCAAATACTGAGCAATAATAATAAGTATGTCATTACGTTTGTATGTTCATTTATCAACTTATCACTTTTCTAAAATGCCAATTTCGTGAATTTACAAATGAAAAAAGGGTTCCGATTCCTCATAACTGAGCAGCAATCAACGTTTTCACACGTTCAAACGAACGTTCCTCAAATGGTTTCAATGAATGGAATAATCTGATTGGTGGAGGATTGATCACGTGTTATTGGACGATGATGACGTACTGAGTGCTCCCATAGTTGTGGTTTTATATCGGCAAGTGAAAGAACGCCATCATATACAAACTTCATACGAGAACTACGAAATAGCCACAATGCTCACAGTGGAATGAAATAGTCAATAAAAGTGAAAAGCTCACAGTCATTTCCACCCAGTGTTCATAAAAAAATGAACAATGGTAGATTTCGGGAGAAAAACAACTACTTCCCTGGCTAATGCCACGCAGGATATTGAATTACATCCTCCCGAAATCTATGCATCGACTCGTTTAAACGAATACTGATACAAGTGATTCTTTCCTGAATGCCTATTGATTTCGATTAAGCCAGGCCGCTAGACAACCACAGACCGGTTTCGAGCTCTTTGGCTCTCATCAGTGCAGTGTAGTCTCCAGCCAGCAGTCCTAAGACTGCCGACTCAGCGAAGCCTAGCCAAACAAAAATCAAGTTGGCATTATATCCACCCCGAGGCGTCTTTCATCGATAAAATGAAAGTAACGCCATCTGAGTAGAACCACTTTTATTTACTATTTCATTCCACTGTGAGCATTGTGGCTATTTCGTAGTTCATATTACGCCAGTCGGGCTGCCAGCCACTCCCGTATGGGAATTTCAGTTTTGGAGTGATTCTTTCCTCGGTTCTACTCAGATGGCGTTACTTTCATTTTATCGATGAAAGACGCCTCGGGGTGGAAATAATGCCAACTTGATTTTTGTTTGGCTAGGCTTCGCTGAGTCGGCGGTCTTAGGACTGCTGGCTGGAGACTACACTGCACTGATGAGAGTCAAAGAGCTCGAAACCGGTCTGTGGTTGTCTAGCGTCCTGGCTTAATCGAAATCAATAGGCATTCAGGAAGGAATCACTTGTATCAGTATTCGTTTAAACGAGTCGATGCATAGATTTCGGGAGGATGTAATTCAATATCCTGCGTGGCATTAGCCAGGGAAGTAGTTGTTTTTCTCCCGAAATCTACCATTGTTGTTCATTTTTTTATGAACACTGGGTGGAAATGACTGTGAGCTTTTCACTTTTATTTCATACGAGAGTTATATATCAGTAAATTTACTGATGAGCAATTAATATTGATGGTATCTATCAACCATCAATGTTCAGTTATATTGAGCACAATCAATGCAACAGCGTCTCTTCGCAACATCTGATCACCTAAGGAATTGTATATTGTATATCAAACAATAGCATACAGTTCTAAGATCCAATCATGCATTTTTCGCAGACGACAGCAAATATTTAGGCAATCCACTACCCAGTTTTTATGAACTACAATCTGATCTATTATCAGTACAAAACTGATGCGGAATATGGGACATTCCTCTGAATATCGACAAGTGCTCTACTCTACATGTTGGCCCCACTAACCCAGAACTAAACTATTACCTAGTTATTTTCAACAAGAAACTAACTGTGTCCAATCAGGTTGCAGCAGCTGTCCGTAAGGCAAACAGTTGCACTTTCCTCCTCAACAAATGCTCTGACCATCCTGAACCAAGACTCGTCAATCAGCTTTATTCGCGGGAATCAATGTTACCAGGTGGCGCTCGGTTTTCATCGTTCCATGTCAAAGCCACGTCAAAACTAGGGGAAAACAAACACAATCCTCACTCAATTGACTCAATCCCATTAGTGCCATTAGCTTGTGTACTGTGTACTGATAATAGTGATATTCTCAAATTTCTTGACATTAATTGTAAATATTCGATAGAAAACGCTAATAATGCCTGTTGTAGATGTTCTTTTGGCAGATGTTTTGCTCTATTTAGATGGAAAAAGCCGACCAGTAGTGGAAGGAGAAGCAGTTCTCCGTGCTATCATGTGATGTAGTGTGAGGCAGAAGACTTCAACAAAAGGCACATTTTTGCACTTTGTCTACAAATTTCGACGATGAAATCTTCCCCACATGCAGTAAAATTGAAGTTGGGGTCCAGATGAACTCCTGTAGAACAATGGATTTGTATTTGTTCATGTAAAGCAGGACAATCTGGGTATTGTTAAACATGTTGTAGCTGTTCTTTTATGTGTCAATTGATTTGATCGTCATAATTAGTTTCAATTGTTTGAACTATCTCAAATTTTTCACCCGTTTACTGTTCACTGAGCTAATGAAAATGTAATAATGTAACAAAAATAAAAAAATTAAACAATCTACACTACTAACAGTTCCAACACTTCATGTCATTGACAAGTTTGACTACAGCTACAGCAAAGCTGAATGCAATGTAGTCTGTGCACTATATCCATAGACAACAGTTTGTTTTCCTCCAGTTTGAAGTTCGTATTATGTAACCTAGATGTCGCCCACTTCGTGAATCTCGCGAATGAAGCATATGTTCACCCACACCTTGAATATGCTGTACAGATATGGTTCCCTCATCTGGTGAAAGACATTCAACTTCTGGAAAGAACCCAACGCAATGCAACACGAATAGTTGAAAGTGTCAGGGATCTCTCCTATGAACAACGGATATCTCGGCTAAGGCTTCCTTTGCTGAGTGATAGACGAGCTAGAGGAGACGCTATTCTGACGTATAGAAATGCATGATGACTTCTCTGTTGTCCTATCCAACTTATTCCATCTACAGAACGATGAAAGATTGAGAAGCCACACCATGAAGTTGAAGCAAGAACATTTTCGCACCACACTCAACCAAAAATTTCTATCGAATCGAGTATTTTCAAAGTGGAATGCATTACCTCGTGATGTTGTGTCAGCTTCCAATGTGAACAGTTTCAAAAACCGCTACGACTTGTTGCAATTACAACAATTATAGTGATTACTGGATAAGGTATTAATAAGTCATGGAAACCATCCATTCTCAAAGTGGTCCAGTATTTTTCAAAAGGAGAAAAACAATAACTCTAAGTCGGTCGACCACAAAATTTAATAAAACCCTCAATGTGTAACTAGTTTCGGCCACACGGCCATCTTCAGACACAAAAATTATAATGAAGTACCTGAAAAATTCGAACAGTTCTTAATCTAAATAATATGGCAGCTGGGAAAGAACATACCTCTATGGAGAAAACATCTTAAAAATTTAAATGAAAGCACTGGTCAAGTTATAGTTACAAATCAATCCGGTAAAACTAAGTATCTTTGTAGCGGCTAAAAAGCCAAAAGAACTTCACAATAAGTAAGTTCGGCATCAAGGAGAAAAACGTTTTTTTAAAAATCTACTCAAAGGAGCTTCATCTGCTTCGAAGGCAAGCCATCAAAAGAAGGAATTATATAGTGGAGCAAAGATGGGAATGTGAAATTTGACATTTGACATAGAATTATTGACAATTCAAAGAATGAAATTGGGAAAAAACAATATCAATTTAACATTAATATCGAAAAACAACCAACAACATTACAGAGAAAGCGTAATTCGAAAACCTAAGTGCTTTCCCAGCTGCCATATTATTTAGATCAAGAACTGTTCGAATTTTTCAGGTACTTCATTATAATTTTTGTGTCTGAAGATGGCCGTGTGGCCGAAACTAGTTACACATTGAGGGTTTCATTAAATTTTGTGGTCGACCGACTTAGAGTTATTGTTTTTCTCCTTTTGAAGGTATTAATAGTTTATCTTCAAAAATATATTGGACTTGACACAATAATAGTTGTGACTAATTTTAAGTTTAAGTTGCTATTGGGCAAAATAGGCTATGCCTCTGCCCTTGGTAATATAATAATAATAATAATAATAATAATAATATATATTCTGACGTATTCTCCAGATATGGGGTAAATAAGAACGTGTCTTAAACTCGGTAGGTCTGAAATACATACCAATTTGTCATCATAAAAATATATCAACTAATCGCCTATCCAGATTGCATACAAAATGCCAATTTCGTGAATTCACAAATGGAAAAAGGGTTCTGATTCCTCATATTCGAGAAGCAATCAACGTTTTTTAGACGTTCAAACAAACGTTTCATGAATGGTTTCAATGAATGGAATAATCTGATTGGTTGAGGATCGATCACGTGTTATTGGACGATGATGACGTACCCAGTGCTCCCATAGTTGTGGTTTCATACTAGCAAGTGGAAGAACGCAATCATATACAAACTTCATACGAGTAGTTATTATCAACCATCAATGTTTAGTTATATAGAGCACAATCAATGCAACAGCGTCTCTTCGCAACATCTGGTCACATAAAGAAATGTATAATACAAACATTAACCTATTTATATTGCACTAGAAATGCCAACTTCGTCATTATCCGAATGAAAGTACCCCAATCTCCGAAAATTCGAAATACTCCAATTATTCATTGTTTTCGATTCCGTTGAAATGGA